CCACTTTATGCAAGCAAGGTTGTGTCACCTGTATAGCACAGGTTGTTGATGAGCCTTCAATCCTGATGCCACATTCTTCTTTATAGTCCAGCTTCTTGAATGATTTACTCAACATACAGATTGAAAAAATAAGGAGAAAGGGTACAACCCTTTTTCACACTTTTCCTAATTTTAAACCTCACAGTGTTTCTTTGTTCTATTTTGATAATTGCTTCTTGGTCTATGTAATAAGTTTTACCTGAGCACAATTCTAGAATTCCCATTCTTCTCAGTGTAGCCATAATTTATTATAATATACACAATCAAATGTCTTTGCATGATCAGTAAAACACAAATCTCTCATTTCTCTGCTTTCTGCCAAGATCGACCTAACATTAACAATGATAATCCAGTTCCATAGCCTCTTCTGTATCCAGCTTGAATTTCTGGCAGTTCTGGTAGATGTACTATTCTAGCCATTTTTAAATAATCGTCACTAAGATTTTACTTGCATGTGTTATTAATGATATCACATTATCAGTAATTTCCACATTTATACTGGGTCACTTTTTTTTTAATGGGGACAAATAATCTCTTTATTTAGCCAGGTAGCTGTTTTCCAAATTTCTTGATATAGACTAGTGTGCATGTCCAAAGCTGCACCTGTTGGTTGAAACGTGCCATTTGGTATTCTATCAATTCCTGGAGACTTATTTTTTGACAATGTGTTTCATGCAGCTTGAACTTCCACCTTCTTTCCCATTGACATTTTGTTTTGTTTTTTTTTTAAAATTAGGTAGATAGATTTGTTAGTTCACAAGATGTGTATATCTTAAAAACCAATAAAATTTAAAACTTCTGCTCTTCCAAAGGCACTTAAGCACATGAACAGGTAAGCTGTAAACTGGGAGAGAAAAAAAAATCTTTTTTCTTTAAGCTATGCAACAATGAATTTTGGGTTTTTTTTTTAAGAAGTAAACTGGAATGGGGTGGTAGGGACGAAAATGTGCAACAATGAATGAATGAAAAACCCACTGACTGTTGATCATATGTTATTTCCTGAAATGATTCATTGTCAGCCACTTCATTTGGTACAGTGACACTATTTTTTCCATCACCTTTTGGTGCTTCCTGTATCACTCACTGTTTTGCCCATAGAATCTTTCAGTACTGCAATTTGAGGCTTGAATTTATTCTCCAACTCTTTCAACTTGAAAGATGCCTAGCATGTTCTCTTGATTTCTAACTTTTTAGTTTTTTGCATATTTCAGAATAATATAATTATAATTCTCTGCTTTATCTTCTCAAATTGCTTTTGACATCTTCTATTTGTTTTTTAAATCAGCATTTCTTCCTTTTGTTTTTACCTCTTTATGTTCTAGTGCAGTTTTCAAAGTCTCTTCCTCTTGCTTTCTTCTGGATAATATCTTTGATGTCATGCTACAACTTATCGGGTTGATCATTAGTGTTTGGTAATTCAGTTTTATTTTTGAGATGGTTTTAAATTTCAGATGGGATATAAACTTAATGTTTTGGTTCTCATGGATTTATTTTCTTTTTTCTCATTTTCAGTTTGAGCTTGCGCATAGTAGTTGATGTGCCAGTCAGCCATAGGTCTTCTTTTGAATGCTAATGTTTACTTTTCCATCAATTGCTTCCACAGATCTGGTCAGTCTGATTCCTTTGTAGACCATTGGATGAAATATATATTATAGTCAGCATTTATATTTGACTTTTTTCCTTGTAAAAAAAAAAGGTAAAGAAATTATTGATTGTACAACATTCAACTTCTAGCCTCATTTCTGTCACCAAGGCTGTGTTTTCACAACTACCAGTCTTTCTTTCCAACTTTTGCATTTTAGTCATTAATTATCAATGCATCTTTATTATATGTTCTATCAGTCTTCAGGCTGCCAAAGTTAGTAGAAGTCTACAATCTCTTCTTTGGCTTTAGTGGTTGGTATATATATTTGAATAATAGGAGTATTAACAGGTCTTGTATGTACTGAAGAGCAGTGGTGTCTCTCTGGAGACTAAGGTGCGTCTGATACAAGCCATGGTCTTCACAATCACTTGTTATGCATCAGAGAGTTGGACAGTGACCAAGGAGGATAGAAGGAGAATTGATGCTTTTGAGCTGTGGTGCTGGAGAAGAATATTGAGAATACCATGGACTGCTAGGAAAACAAACAGATTTGTCCTGGAAAGGGTTAAACTGGGTGTCTCCTTGGAGGCAAGGATTCTGAGGCTTCGTCTAACATACTTTGGACATGTTGTGAGGAGAGACCGGTCCTTGGAGAAGAACATCATGCTTGGGAGGGTGGAGGGACAGCGCAGAAGAGGAAGGCCCTCTATGAGGTGGATTGATTCAGTGACTGGGATAATTGGGATGGGAGTGTCAGAGACAGTGCGATTGGCACAGGACAGAGCGGAGTTTAGGGCTGTTGTACATAGGGTCGCTATGAGTCGCAGGCGAGTCGACGGCACATAACAACAACAACATGTATGCATATGGATAATATACTGTCATGTCATTTTATTTAAGGCTAGATCTTAAAATGATTTTTTTAGTATGAATGCAGCTCTATTCCTCTTTAATTTGTCATTCCAGGTGCAATAGATCATATGACATCTGATTGAAAGTGAACAACCCTAGTCCATCTCAGCTTACTAATGTCTAGGATATCAATCCTTTTTTTTTTTAACATGTTCCAATTTTCTTGGGTTTATGTTTCATACATTCCATGTTCTAATTATTGATAGATATTTGCATCTATCTCAATTTTTAGTGTCTTCCTTTCTGAAGGGCTCTTCCTACGATATCTTAGAGTGTTTCTCTGTTATTCATAGGGTTTTTGAAGGCCTTATTTTTTAAGAAGCGGATGACCAGTCCTGCCTCTTAGTCTGTCTTAGTTTGAAAACTGTGCTAAAACCTGTCCTTCATGGGTTTTTTAAATACCAGTGCATAGCTTCTGGCATCACAGCAACCTGAGAGTCACTCCAGTACAGCAAACTGACATACAAGTGCTACACCCATATGTTGTTGTTGATTGCCTTCCAGTCGAGCACGACTCATAGTGACCCTATGAACAAAAGGCCTGAAGCCCCTCTACAGCTATCAACATTTATCAAAGTTCATAGAGTTTCCAGAGGCAAGTTTCACCCATATGAATAAACAATAAAACAAACAAGTATGTAAATAGAAAACAAATATTCAAGCTATGGGAAATAGAAAACAAAACTGTCTAGCCTCTTATTAAGGGAGGGAGCACCTAGCATGAGACAGTTCCTGCTGGCTTCCGAACCTAGGACTAGTGGTCTGCATGGCTAGATATTAGCTCCCCTAATGTGTAAAATCTGGCTTAACCACAAATGGCAGGGGTCAGTGAGGGCAGTTGCTGTGTGTGTGGCTGGTGTCAGAGTTAATGGAGTGGGGAGACAGTACTGATTTTTATGTACTGAGAATTAATTTTATGCTGCTTTTTATTCGCAAAGCTGCCTTCTTCATAGGTACGCTTGTCTTTCTGTCATATTGTTTAATGACTTTCACTCCTCTAACCAGGAGCTCTCGGTGAGTCCTTTGGGTGCAGGGTATGAAGAGCTGAAATTTAGCTCAGTCCTGTCTTGGCCATCTGGCTCCTGTATGTCCAACACCATCCTTTTCTTTCTCTTCATCTTTCTACCCCCGGGATTGATACTGTGTTTACTCTCAAGGTCAATGGAAGGTTTTGGAAAAGGAGCATCCAAGTGAGAACTTGACTGAGTTAGATGGACTGTAGGGAAGCGAGAGTCTCTGGGTCAGTCCATAGCAAGAAAACTATAAAGTTTTGTACTATAGGTCAAGGAAAAAACACAGGGACCAAGGAAGTTCTTGTAAGGTCAAGGACTCTAGTCTTAAGTATGTATTGAAGCTCAACATCAAGAAGACAAAAATTCTCACCACAGGGCCAATTGGTAACACCACAATAGATGGAGGTGAGATTGAGATTGCTAACAATTTCAGTTTACGCGGCTCGACCATCCACACTCTTGGCACCATTAGTCAAGAAGTCAAAAGACAAATAGCATTAGGGAAATCTGCTGTCAGGACCTCTCCAAATTGCTCAAGAGCAACAATGTCAGTCTGGAGACTAAGGTGTGCCTGATTCAGGTGATTCAGGCCATGGTCTTTGCAGTTACTTGCTATGCATCAGAGAGCTGCACAATAACTATAAATAATAGAAGAAGAATCGATGCCTTTGAGTTGTGGTGCTGGAGGAGAGTCTTGAACACGCAAGAGAAAAACAGGTCTGTTCTGGAGACGGTGAAACCAAGTTGCTCCTTAGAAGCAAGGATTTTGAAGCTCCATCTCACATACTTTGGGCCCATGGCCAGGAAGGACCTGTCCTTTGAGAAAGACATCATATTTAGAAGGGTAGAGGAACAGTGCAGGAGAGGAAGATCCTAGATGAGATGGATTGACAAAATAACTGGGATAATTGGGATAGGTATGTCAGAGATAGACTAGCTCAGGCTGGGGCAGCATTCAGAGCTATTGTACATATAGGATCACTGTGAGTCATAGGCTATTCAATGGCAAGTAACAGCAACAAGAAGTTTTAATGTAGGATGAATGTGACCTGGTAGAGCAATGCTTTTGAAATATGGCATGATGCAGAAAGAATAAAGAAATGGGAGGCTTGGCAAGAAAATTTGGTTTGTATAATGTTCTTCTTAGTGTTATATTCACAATTAGTCCCTGCGACTCTGTGTTTTAAGCAGTCAACACATATTAGAACCCAAGCGCATCTGACAGTTTGAGATGGGGAAAGTAGTGATGCTCAAGGCCTCCACTCTGGGATGTGAAGGATGTTACCCTAGTGGCCTTGTTGTAGCAAGCTGTGGGATTGAGCCCTGCTCATCTACAGTGTCTTAGGGTGCTTGCAGAAGAGCTCCCCCCATGTGGCTGCTTCAAAGTTAGGTCTAGAACCACTCAGTCGGTCTGATGTCTGCTCTTTTCTTTCCTTTCTGTTGGGTATTAGGATTGGGTATCTGCAGGCATGAACATCTTTGCCAGGACCAAGATAGACCTCAGTGCTTTGGTGAAAAATCTGGACGTGCTCAGTAAGGGTTGTGCTTCACTCGAGAGAGGTAAGAGTGAAAGGGAGGTTACAGGGGAAGCCGGGAGGAGGGGAGGTTGGGGTGTTAACTTGCTTAATGCATGGGCCTAAGCAGAGTTCATGCAGGCTTGTAAACTTCTTTTAATTGTGGAAAATTTTAAGCATATTATAAACTAGAATAATACAAGGCAACTCATACTCATCACCTGACTTTAACGCACACATACTACATTCTTTTGAAACAAATTCTCTATTTCATAATGCTTCAGTCACAAAGCCTTAAGTATATGCCTCTAAGAGCTCTTAAAAAAATAAACATAAATATAACTACAGTACCATTGTTGTTGTATACCATTGTGTCGAAAGTAATCCACAGCTGTGGATGAGAAGCATGAATGAGTTGATTGCTTTCTTTCTCCCAAATAACAACTTCTAACTGCACACCTTTGTGTTGGCAGCAGGATTCCTTACCACTAAGCCACCACAGCCTCCTACAATACTTTTGTGGTTATTGAGTACCATCGAGTCTGAACCAACCTACAGATGACCTTTCAAGGAGTTTTCAGAGGGAGTAAATTGCATGGAGGAGATTGCCCATTAGCAGACCTAAAGAAATTGATAGTAACTTCTTAGTACCAAGAAAGTACAGCAGCTCATATTTTCCTGATGATCTCATCAGTGTTTCCTAGCCTGTGTAAATTGTGTCAAAATACCCTTTAATCTGTGAAAACATGGAGGTAAAGGGAAGACTTTTCCACAGTCTGAGAAGCCGCCTTCTCTGTGAAAGGGAGGCAACATGACTCTGCTTTCATAAGCATTAAAATTAAAATCAGCTAACTGATGGAAAATGTTTAAGATGAGGCTCAGCATATATAGTTAAGTGCTCAGCCAGTGTTTTTTAAGAGCAGTTTGCCCTTGTTCCCCTGGACACGGCTGCTCTGTCTTCAGGGAAGGGAGCAGCAGGACTGGGGCCTATGAGTGGGAGGATTATGGGTTGGACAGCTCTCTAGAGGGTTCAGGTCTAATTCCATGGCTTATATCCATATTAGTGGGTGCTTAGAACCTCTGTCCACTTGTTCATAAAATGGGAAGAGACCCATTATAGGTGCAATGTAGTTTAGTACAGTTTTAGAAAGATCCCAAGTACACCCTTATTTAACAGGTATTGGTCATGACCTCTCTTCTCATGGTGAGTGGTGAGATGACAGGTAGGAATTGTACTTTGTTGAAGATTAGTCTGCGTTCTCCCGGAATGACATGATTAGATGTTGCCTGTCATCTTCTTGAGCTGTGTTCCTTTGGTGTTGCCTTGGGTCCACTCACTCCCGATGGAGGGGTATCCTGACAGAGCGTTGCTTCTCTGTAGTACGTTAGCCTAGGTCAGCTTTTGTGCACATGTGATGTGCCATCCAGCTCACTGCCAGCCTGTGCAAGCCCAGCTCTTGCATGGAGGCTGTGTTGTCTGCTTCAGCACCTGAATCTAGAGCCAGCCACTCCTTTTGTTTGCATCACGTTTTCTTAGAGAACCAATTGTATTTTCAGTCATGCATAAAACATGGAAGCCCAGCCCCCTCCGCCTCCCTGCCATCCCTCTCCTCCAGGAGTCTTGAAAACATAAAAGGTGATTTCAAAATTCAGGCATGCTGTAGGAATTAACATTGGAAGGCTTCCTCATAGCTTAACTCTGCAGTCACTTGAAGAATTTGATGGTCATAGTGAAGTGGGTCAGTGAATTGACTTTTTTTTATTGTTGGTAATATAGATTGCAACACATCAGTTTGGCAGTTCTACATAGAATATTAATTCCTTAAAATTGTTTACATTCTTCAAGTTATGCAACCATTCTCATCCTCCCTTTCTGAGTTGTTGCTCTCCCTTTAACATAATAAACTCATTGCCCCTGAGATTCCTTTCTAGATAAATAATGATGTGTATTTTTGACTTACTCATGTTGTTACTGTTGTTATGTTCCATTGAGTTGCTTGCAACTCATAGTGACCGTATGTACAACAGCTCTGAACCCTGCTCTGTCTTGAGCCAATTTCATTGTCTCTGACACATGTACCCTCATTACCCCAGTCACTGAGTCAGTTCATCTTATCCAGGGTCTTCCTCTCTTGCGCTGTTCCTCTACCCTTCCATGCATGATGTCTTTCTCCAAGAATTGGTCCCTGCAACATGCTCAAAGTATGTTACACATGGATCTTCAAAATGCTTGCCTCCAAGGAGTAGCCTGGTTTCACCCTCTCTAGGATGGTCCTGTTTGTTGTCTTAGTAATCTGTGGTATATTCAATATTCTTCTCCAGCACCACAACTCAAAGGCTCTTCTGTTATTCTTAGTCATTGTTCAGCTGTCTGATGCATAGCAAGCAAGTAATTGCAATGACCATATCTAGGATCAGGTGCACCTTTGTTTCTAGACAGACATCATTGCTCTTCAGTACTTTAGAAAGATCCCTGACAGCAGATATTCCCAATTCAATTCATCTTTTGAATTCCTGGCTACTGGTACCAAGATTGTGGAGTGAAGTAAGCTGAAGCTGTTAACAATCTCAGTCTCTTCATCTGTTATGATGCTGCCAGTTGACCTACTGGTGAGAATCTGTTTTCTTGATAGTGAACTTCAATCCATATTGATGGCCGCAGTTTTTGCCCTTCTGCAGCAAATGCCTCAGGTCCTCCTTAGTTTCAGCAAGCAAGGTTGTATCTTCTGTATAAACACAGTTTGGGGTTTTTTTAGATTTTCAGAATATTTTTTAAAATTTTTTTCCTCCTACTAATTTATTTACAAAATTCAAATACAAATTCTTTCCACTTCCCTCACCCCTGCACCCATCAAATTGTACGACCCTGTGATTAATCCTCACACCCTCTGCACATCCACATCCCTCTTCTTCCAGCCTCTCCCACCCCTCTTGGATCCTTATACTCATTCTACAATAATGATTTTATACAATATTTATCCTTGTGGGACTGAGTTAGTTCACTGAGCATAATGCTCTCTAGTCCCTCCCAAGTTAGGTAATAATTTTTTTTAACTTTTTTTTTTAAATAAATTTTAATGAAAGTTTACAGACTTAAGATCCAGCCGTTCATTGTTGTGCTTTTCTCCCTACCCACTCCCTTTCCCCCAATTCACTCTTCTCCTTGAAAAGAAAAACTCTTTCATTGTTATGCAGTCCTTCCACCCAAATCCACTCCACTATGCAGCCTTTACTCTGGACTTCTGTAATGACAAGAATACCCATTCATATGTCCCTCTTAAATAGTTCTTTCCCTCATCTGTTTCAATGCAATATACATCATTCCGCCCCTCCTTTTCTATCTTCCCTTAACCCTAGTGTCAGTCCCATTTTACAACAGTGGCCCTATGCAATATTTTTCCTTTTGTAACTGAGATATTTCACTTAGCATAATGTCCTCCAGGGTCATCCATTTTGAATAATATTTCATGAGTTCCTTGTTTTTCAATGCTGCATGGTATTCCATTGTGTGAATATACCAGAACTTATCTATCTATCTGTTTGTTGATGGGCACTTGGGTTATTTCTAGCTCTTTGCTATTGTGAACAAAGCCTCAGTAAATATGGGTGTGCATGTATCTGCTTGGGTGGCAGTTATGGTTTCTTTAGGGTAAATTCCCAGTAGTGGAATTGCTGGGTCAAATGGTATTTCTATTTCCAACTTTTCGCGAAAGCGCCGTACAGCCTTCCGTAGTGGTTGCACCATTTTATGCTCCCACCAACAGTGAATAAGTGTTCCAGTTTCTCCACAACCTCGCCAGCATTTGATGTTTGCTCTTCTTACTGGGGTGAGACGATATTTCATAGTTGTTTTCATTTTTATCTCTCTTAGAGCTAGGGATTTTGAACATTTCTTCATGTGTTTGTTGGCCATCTGAATGTCTTCTTTGGTGATATGTCTTTTCATATCCTGTGCCCATTTTTCAGTTGGATTGTTTACTTTTATCTTGTTGTGGTGCTCAAATATTTTATAAATTCTAGATATAAGTCCCTTGTCAGGCATGTCATTACCAAATATTTTTTCCCAATCTGTGGCTTCCCTTTTTACTTTGTTGGAGAAGTTTTTAGATGTGTATAGGGATTTACTTTTTAGAAAGTCCTATTCATCTATTTTATCCTCTCTTGGTTATAGACCAAGTTAAGTAATAATGTACAAAATCATTGCTCCTGCGTGCTGCATAGTATTCCATTGTGTGAATGTACCATATTTTCCAACCTATTCATTTGTGGTTGGATATTTGGGCTGTTTCTATGTTCTTGTGATGGTGAATAATGCTACTATGAACATTGGTGTACAAATCTCAGTTTGTGTGTCAGTTCTTATATTCTCAGAGTGTATTCCAAGTAGTGGAATTCCAAGTAGTGGAATAGCTGAGTCATGGAATTTCTGTGTTCCAACTTTTTGAGGAAGCACCAAACTGCCTTCCAAAATGTTTGTATCATTTTACAATCCCACCAACAATGTATAAGAGTTCCTTTCTCACCACATCCTCTCCAGCATTTATTACTTGCTACCCTGTTAAACTTTGCCACTCTTTACCATCTCACTCTGGAGTGAGATGGTACTTCATTGTGGTTTTGATTTGCATCTCTCTTATTGCCAATGATTTGGAGCATTTCTTCATGTGTCTGTTTGCCATTCGAATATCTTCCTCTAAAAACTCTTTCCATGTCTTTTGCCGATTTTGTAATTGGGGTATCAGTCTTTTTCTTGTGCAGGCCCAGGAGTATTCTGTTAACAAGACTTATTATAAGACTCTTGTCTGAGATGGTATTACCAATGTTTGTTCCCAGTAGGTTTTCTTTTCACCTGTCGAAAAAAGTTTTTGATGTGCACAGGGATTTGATCTTTAGAAGGTCCCATGCATCAATTTTATCCTCTTTAGATTGTGCATTTCTGGTTGTATTTGGAAGTCTCTCTATACCTTGGACTAGCACTGCTAAGCTTGATCCCAGTTTGTCTCTTATGAATTTTATGATTTTGAGCTTTACTCCCAGGTTTCTGATCCACCT